ATGAGAACTCTTATGTAGCGAAGGATTCATATTTTTCTTTTAAATAATTATAATCTAAGCTTTACTTCTGTATGGAACACCATTTTTTAAAAAAAATAAAAACAAAAATATTAAAGAACACTGGATTATTTACCTAACCCGTTCTTTCCTATTTTTCAACATTTCGGCACACACATACACACACACTCATCATATATATATATATATATATATATATATATATATATATATATATATATATATATATATATATATAAAATATTACTTATTATAAAACGTTTGTGTGTGTGTGTGTGTGTGTGTGTAACGTTTATATGTTGGATCGAAATTCCTACATTTTTAGCCGATTTCAACAAAACATCACAGGACTACATAAAATTACCTTTTGGTGGATCTAACGGCGCCGAAAATGGGAAAAACACAGTTGTTTTTTAAGAAAATCAATTTGAAAACACGATTAAGACACATCGTGAGAATGAAAGGGGACAACTCACCCACGAAAATGTAAACAAAAGAGCATAGCATGATGAAAAAAAAAAAGCCGAACTTGACGAAAACAAAATTTTATCGTCTAATATTCATATTATTATTAAAGAGGAAAGATCAAAGTATTTTTTTGAGTATTTTTTTTTACATTTTTAATCGTTCCTAGCAGGTCTGAAATTTTCGTTAAAAATATTGTTTTTTTTTTTTGGTCAAAAAAAAAAAGGACAGATAATCAATCATTTTTAATCATTTTTTTTCGATTTGATAAAAAGATTAAAATCTTACTTTGATATTCTTTTAAAAATCAATTATCATTTTTTCAAAACTGATTTTAATAAAACAGATATTATACTGTTTATTTAAAATATTTTGAACCAAGCTTAACTTAGCTTCTGCGCCGAAAAAATGTAATTTCAAAATAAAACAAAGCAGGTCATAACCTTTCGCGTCGCTTGACGATTGACGAAAGGCACATTCATGACGTTTAGATAACTTACGGGAGGGTAATTCTTTCTACGGATGTAAGGAAGTGAAATTATTTAAGTGAACAAATTATTTACCTCGTTACTTTTAAGGAAAACTTTCAGCGCTCTAATTTTTTATTTTAATTTTTTTTTTTTTTGTACTTAGCTTTCATTTTTACGTTTACGATGCTTTATGGAAAATATAAAGAAATCCAAAAATAAGACTGTTAATAGTGAGATAAAATTTCATAAGAAAAAGGTATCTAATTAATTTAGGTACGTTTCTTATGAAATTTTATCAGAAAATGTACATAAAATACTATAATTTTATGTACATTTATTACATTTTACTGTGTTATTTGTATTTCCATTCATTTTATTATTAATTTTGATATTTCATTTATGGAAAAAATGTCATAACTGAGATTAATATAAAAATAAGATCATATAAATTAAAGTTTAGCAGTAGTTAAATTTCATAAGATGATACTGTTACTTGTAGGTACCCTTCGCAGTTGAAATTGAAAACTCAAATTAACTTCTCCATACGTGTTTCGCAAAAGTAAAGGGCTTAACAGCGGAGAACAATGCTGAACTCAAATAATGCAACTAAATTGTATTCTGGTTGGTCTTCCGTACTTGATACTTACTGTCCGACTATAAACACAAAAATTACATTTCTTAATTACCATAGCTAATCTGATTGGTCCAAATTATACAATTTTCAAAGCGCTAGACAATGACAATCTCACACGGACATTTTGAAAGGTTGATGTTGCATTTAACTAATGTTAAAAATTTTTTTAAAATTCAATTTAAACATTTTTTTAAAAATCTTTTTAAAATTAAAGAAATAAGAAATAATTGTATTAAAAATTCATTTTTCATTGAAAAAAGTTTTTGCTTCCAGAAAATATTGTCCATATTCATAAAAACAAATTAAAACAAATAAAAGCATTTGAAACTAAATAATATATTTGTTTTATTGAGTTTTGTATGTTACAATTCACAGCTGATTTTCAGGTACATTGGCCAAAAAAAAAAAAAAAATGCATGATTTGCATTCTTCAAAGCCTTGTGCTTTTAATTATTGTAATCACTAAAACCGATGGTCTCGAATTTCTAGAGTTTTTCATAAAATTAGTTATGGGGGTGTTAATAAATATAAAAAAAATATTTCTGCCATGACTTTAATAAAAAAAAAACATATTTATAATAATTTCGATCATCTGTGAATGGTTTCTGAAAGTTACATTAACATCTGACAATTATTTTTATTTTTGCAAGATTTTCCAAATTAATGTGTGTAAATACAAAAAAAACGCGCTAAAAATTATCTATGTTATTTACTACCCCTTGTTGCGACAAAGAGAAACAAGGTTTTTTAAATCAAAATTTAGAATATTCTAAAAAGATGGAAAATTTTTTAAAAATAATTAAAAAAAAATGTAGTCTATCCTCTTCATAAAAACATGAGCATTTTGACGATAAAATTTTGCTTTCATAAACTTTAGCGTCTTTTTCATCAGACTATGCTCTATGTTTTAGCGATTCCGTGGAGTTATTTAGGTTAAAAAAAACCCAGATTGTTTGTTTGTGTGTGTGTCTGTGTGTGTGTGTGTGTGTGTGTGTGTGTGTGTGCGTGTGTGTGTGTGTGTGTGCGTGTTCCTTTATATATGGGATCGGATTTCTTACATTTTTCAGCCGATAAAACAAACAACCACTTTTTTTTGTCAGGTAGTATTTCTTATTGTCTTGCACACTTTTTTCTTTATTTACATTCAGAATGCTTTAACAATTCCATTTACAAGAGAATTGTTTATAATAAAATTCTATTCAATCGGAGGAGACTCATAACGATTGTTTACAATGTTTTTGTTTGAGTTTAGGTTTGACCAATTCGTAAAAAAAAAAAAAAATAATTAAGACATGCGTGTCCGTCAACTTTAAACAATAATCTTTGTCAATTTTATTTTTCAGTCTTTATCATGGTCGATACTTGATCTATCTCTTACTGTTACATCCCCGGGCAACGCCGGGCTCTACTGCTAGTATATATATTAATGTTGTTTAATACTGTTTATTATAACCAGAGCATTTACTTAAATATTTGTATCTATAAAAAAGAATGTATAAACATAAAAATGTCTTAAAATAATTTCGGACTTTGTTTATTTCATATTGTGTGACGTCATTTGTTTACATTTGGAGACGCCATGAGCAAATATGAATGTACGTGAGAGAATCATGAGAGATTGTAGCTAACCGAACGCTCCTCTGTGGCCAAATCGGTTTAGCCACGTCAGGCTATATGACGGTTCCGTATAGGATACAGGTTCGATTCCTGTCGGAAGACGATTATTTTCTATGAAAAGTTCTCGGATATTCAGGTTGTTTAATACTGTTTATTAGAAACAGAGCATTTACTTAAATTTTTGTATCCATAAAAAAATGTATAAACATAAAAATGTCTTCAAATAATTGTCGGACTTTGTCCATTTCATATATATATATATATATATATATATATATATATATATATATATATATGTGTGTGTGTGTGTGTGTGTGTGTGTGTGTGTGTGTGTGATTTTGTGTGTAATATTTTTTTTTATGCGCGGCAATTATTGGAAAGCGCACAATATGACTGATACATAGATCCAACTATATATATATATATATATATATATATATATATATATATATATATATATATATATAAATATACTAATATAAACACTAAGAATATTACTTGGCATAATGTGATAACTGATGGTAAAAGAAATGAAAGCGGAAGACAACCGGTTTCGCTTCCGCTCTTCAAATGTTTTAATTGGGTGAAAAAGAGTAAAAATATAACTCTAAATTTGCAAATGATTAATGAGAGAAAGAATTTGGGGAGTACTAGAGGCTAAATATAGCAAGCCCTAGCAAACAATCACGCTGTTTACAGAGACACGGTTTGCGGGACTAGATGCCAGTTTAACGTGCCAAGTAAGATCAGAAATCGCAACTTGGTTTCAAATGAACAAATTACAAATATATATATATATATATATATATATATATATATATATATATATATATATATATATATATATAGTGTATTTATGTATAAACTATATATATGCATATTTATATACATATACAGACCATATATATATATATATATATATATATATATATATATATATATATATATATGTATATATGTATATATAATTATTTATTTAAAAATATGATTCCAACTCGCGACATAAGAGGTATCATGTTTCAAACAAGAGCCGAAAACTTCAATATAATTATTTGAATTAAATTGAGTTAAATAAAGCTCTGTTCCGTCTTCAAGCAAAATTTTTTTTTTGGAATAACTTATTTCAGAAATTTACGTGTTTTAATAATTGAAATCAAAATTTCCATGGTAACAGCTAGAGGGAATAGTTTAAATTCGGTAGGCGTGTGTTGGGTGTTAATAATAAGTATCAGTATAGAGTTACTTTCATAGATGTCAAGTCAGGATAAGGTGGGGGTGTCTAAATTTGAAACGGAAGATGTTTAAGCCTAGTCTGGCTTACGTGTCTACGGAGATTTATTTATTTTTTTTATTTTATTTCATTTTAGAAAGGGATTTGTGCATATAAAAACTGCCGTAACTTTTGTTTTTTGACGACTTCAGAAAGGTTTATCTTTTTTAGGGTATTTAAACTATTTATTTTGGCTATGGATTATAAAAGTTATTATATTGTATGCTTGTTTTTAGCTAATCATTCAAACCATAGATTTGATGATGTCGACAGAAAACCGTTAAGTCATGTCTATTGTTTAATAGATTATTATTATTTAGAAACTTAATAATATGCAGCTTTTTATGGAGGCATAAAGGGCATCGGTCATCCCAAGTTTTACATGTTCTAGTCCTGTTTATAATTTTCCATTTTACTTTAGATGTCCTATTTATTTCCTTCAGATGCCAAAAATATTTAGATATATATAACCCATATATTCAACTCACAAAATATTAGCCAAAACAGGAACCAACGTCTTACCCATTGATATCCCAATAGTCAGTCCAAATATAATATTGTTAAAACTAAATTCTCCCTACATCTCATTGACGAAATACATAAAATTTGAATACTAGAAGCTAGATAATACATAATGTACATCAGTACAGATTTGGAGTATCTCTTAAAGAGGAATATTAGTAAAGAGTTTGTCCACCGAACACAAATGCGAATCTGTAATTATTTGAGAAAACCGAGACGAAACGAATCAGCGATACAAATAGAAGCACACGGACACTGACACATACAGACACACACAGACAAATATACACACACAGACAAACATATGTGCGTGCGTGTGCGTTGGTGATGATGTGCACATTATTAGAAAATCGTTAAGGCATGAATTTTATATTGTTTTAATTTCGTTCCTTTCCTTGTTTGGTATGGTTTCCATCAGAAGGAAAGAATAACCCTTCCAGAATTTAGCGAATTTGTCTCGAACTCTTGGTCAAGTAGAATTCATATGGCTTCGTGTGAACTGCAAATTATTCTTCAAGTCGAAGAATGTAATGGAATCCAATTGCAAAATTTTATGAATTCGCTCCATCAATAGAAATATATTGGGGGGAAAAAAAATATCGATTTTTGATGATAAGCAAATTGATGATTTTTGTCACAAATATTTCGAGTTTTAGATTGTACGCAAATTGTCTAGAATTTCGGTCAACTTTTATTCACGTTTTTCTTTTTTTTTTTTTATCTGTGATTCTCTTAAAACTTCCGATGATTAATTTATCAACGTGTGAATTTTTGTCACACCTGTCGTTGGAATATTTTAGTTAGATCCCCAAAGAGTAATATTTACACTTATCACACTCTCTCTATCTTAGTCCCTTCATCCAGATAACTATATAGCTAGCTAGCTATCAGTCCATCTCTCTATATCTATTTATTTTATTTCTTTCACTCAGTTTAAATTAGTCTCTCTCTCTCTCTCTGTCTATCTATCTATCTATCTCCCTGGTTTTGCTCCTTTTTGCTCACCCTCTTTATCTTAGTCTCTTCATTCAGCGACCTATATAGCTAGCTAACAGTTTATCTCTATCTATAAAAAGGCAGGATGTGCGTGTGTGTGTGTAACGAATGCACGGCCGCAATTTTCGACGAATTTACACCAAAACTTATATGCACATGCTCCAAGTTAGCGGGAAGCCCAAGACCGACTTTGCATTTCCCAACTCCCATCGATAGTGGAAATAATCGATGTTTTATGCTTCTACGGAAGTTTTCATGTAGTTTGCGGCCATTTTCTATTGGCCAGCGTGAGAGCCAACAGATGACTGACACGAATGTTAACTAGCATGCTAGCATGCAAAAAAAAAATCGATAGCTGCATTCGTCACAAGTGGGAAAAATTTAAATCTGCATGGCACTTTACTCCAATTGGCCCATTCGCTTGCTTAAACTCAACGTTGATTCTGATTCCACAGAACTTGGTTGGGTGTGAAAAAGTATTTGTTGTTAACATTCTTTTTTCATTCGATTTTTCCAGTTACGAGTCCTTTTTTAAAGCTGATCGTTTTGTGTTCATTTTGTTTAGTTCTTTTTTCGTAACAGATTTAATGTTTAGTATAGAGCTTAGAAAAAATTCGCCGTGTGAGATAGGCAAAAAGTAAGGCATGTAGCAACATCAGTACGGAAAAGGGCACTCCTTTAAAGGCAAGGAAGGGCAAAAATATTTTAAGTCAAGTGATAGCGATTGCTGTATGATTCGTACGATTTTTGAATCAAGCACGGGCAACGCCGGGCCATGCTGCTGATTTAATATATTAGTGCGCGTGTGTGTTTGTGCATGTGTGTGTGGCGCATGCTGCTAGTCTTTCTCTATTTCTTTTCTTTCTTTCTTTCTCTCTGTTTATTCATCTATCTATCTATCTATCTATCTATCTATCTATCTATCTATTTGTTTTTCCATTAGCTAATTATCTATCAGATTATCTCTCTCTCTCTCTCTCTCTCTCTCTCTCTCTCTATCGGTTGACATTTTATTTCTTTCTCTCCCTTTATTTTAATCTGACGTTTCGTTAGACAACATTTAGATGAATTGTAATTATGTTGAATGGTCAAAGATTCACATACATACTTTAATATTTCATGGGATTATAATATATTTCCTTGGTCCTAAATTGATCAGATCTCCATTTTCATACAAATATGTTGGTGACTAATTTTTCCAGGCTTAAAAACTTAGTATTATTTTAATTTATGCAGGCATGTGTTTGAGGAAGCAGTTTTAAATTGGTTTTAGATGATAGAGAGAGGGTGGAAGACCATAGATTTGTTATCTAAATTAGTGGGGGAAATTAGAGATAGGAACAAGTTTATAACTATCTTTATCAAGATAATTGACCAGACATGTTGACCTATTTATTGAGTCTTTTCACCGGAAAATAATCGAGGCAATTAGACATAGAAAAAAGGTGAAGAAAAAAAAGAGAAAATAGAATAGAAAACAAATAAGGAAAGAAAGGACATGAATTATATACCATTGAAGTTGTCCGTTTCTTAATACTTGTTCTGTTTCTACATTGAGCTCCCTGGATTAAATCCTACTTGGAATTATCTATACAGATTACCAAATAACTTCATTATCTATCTATCTATCTATCTATCTATATATATATATATATATATATATATATATATATATATATATATATATATATATATATATATATATATATATTGATGCATGTTTCATTAAATAATATAGACAAGTGTTGTCTATTTCTTTTATATAATTTTTTTTTTATATCGTCTGATAAGCTTAATAGCATTATCGTTAAAAGAAGAAAGTACATCACAATATTGATACATATTTTTTCATCCTATCTAAGCTTTCGGCTTACATAAGTCATTATCAAAGATGACAATTACATTACAATATATTAAACAATACACGGAGAACAAAATAATGATAGCCTGTTTCTGTTTACATTGAAGATTTCCAAGCAACGACAAACTCGTGCATATAAGACGCTGGAAAGGAAAATCGCGCCGCAGCTCATGACATCACACATTACTACACGAGAGTAAAAACGAGGAGTATTAAGTATGGGAAGCCGTTAGTATAAACCAATGGTTTCTGTTACCAATTATAGACATATAAGAATATTTGTGGAGATTTCACAGTTTATTTTGTTCAGGTTAGTTTTCAACATTTTTATGTATATAGCTTCAAGAATGTTTAGGTTTATTTACTTTTTTTCGTGTTTAAGTATAGCTGTGTTTTCAACGAGGATTGACCTCCGAGAACATTCATATTTCTCTCAGTTAAACCTTCTTTGACACCCTTCTTTAAAACTTCTGTCTGTTAAATTTTAATCCCCCCTTCATCTTTAGAACCTCCTTTTCTTCTGTTCTTCTCTCGTCTGTTACCCCTCCCTATAGATTTCATTTACCCTAACATTCGTCCCACACTCTCATATTTACACTCTCACTAAATTTTATTTTTTATTCCCGGAGTTGTTTTTTTGTTTTCTATTTGAATTTGTAGGTCTGATGAAATGGATCGTATTTACGATTCCAGTGGAATAAAATATGACCATGGAGTATTAGTGTTTAAGCCTTTTTATTATATATATATATATATATATATATATATAGAGAGAGAGAGAGAGATTTAGAGGTAGACTGAGAGATACAAATATCTCTCTCACAATATATATATATATATATATATTTTAAAGGGAGACAGGGAGAGAGAGAGAGATAGCTAGAGAATTAGTTTAGACCGAAAATTATAAAATTATATATATATATATATATATATATATATATATATATATATATATATATATATATATATATATATATATGTGTGTTTCGGCAGTATGTTTTCATTCAGATAGGTTTCTTAATATTAGGTTCTGTCATTAATATTTTTTTCCTTTAACTACTCAAACCTGGGAAGGCCACGCTTGGCGGCAAGTTCGAAGACGAGAGCCCGGACTAAGCACGATCAACCCTAAAGACTCCAACGGTGGAACAAGAGGTTGACGGACATAGTACAGAATGCGTCACACGACTCAGCGGCAGTCCGTTACATTTTGGTAATTGGGTTCTGCCTATCTCATTCTATATGTGCCTGAGAGGAAGGTCATGAAATCAAGTGCGTGGGTTACTTCCTGGCGTCTGCTTTCTCCCCCAGACCATGTTCTGTCATCCACCTGCCCAAGCTCGTCTGGTATGTCACGCGCTACTTTTCCTTATCTCTCTCTCCCTCTATTCGACCCGTGAGTACCAGATTCTCCTGGCCCGCCTTCCTTATTATTTGTCCCTGAAAATTCAGCTGCTTCTTTCTGGTGTTAAGTATAAGCATTCTTCTTGTTTGTGACCTCTCGAAGACCTCATCGTTGCTCACATGCTCGGTCCATGATATCCTGAGCATCCTTCTATAGAACCACATCTCCGTCGCCTTGACTGTCTTCTTCATCTTTGAGGAATTACGATGAAAGGCAACAACCAGCAATACACAGAACGGTGGAACAAGAGAATGACGATTACATAGACCTCAACGGTTGAAGCGGATGAAGACGGCGACACATGGCGGACCTAGTCCAGAAGGCGTCACACGACTCAGCGGTAGTCCGTTGCAGATTTATAACTGAATTCTGCGTGTCTCATTCCATATTTACCGGAGAGGAATGTCATGAAATCAATTTCTTGGCAAGTTGAGGTCCACCTTAAGATTCTATTTCTGAATATGAACGTTGGTGCCGAATTTAGTCATCCACGCCATCATGATAAAGGAAGCAACCAACAAAGAAATTAATTTTTGGTTACGAGATGAAGTCGAAGATTTTATTTACACCCGCATCATTTTGCTCAGAACGTTTCGTATGTTATGCCATAAAGACTTCTTCAGTTTTTTGTTGATCGGGTTAAAATTCAGGGAATTTTGAGCCGAATCATTAAATCTATAAGGGTATTTTTTCTCTTTCCGCTGACCGTGTTTAATGATATCTCTTCTAGTTCTTATTT